CCAATTCATCATCAGTCATACTATCGACCTATATTCCAAATCTGACCACGTCTTACCACTTCAGTGGTTTTAACCACCACAGGTTGCTCACCAAGTCAAACTACAACTGCCTTATAACTGATCTCCTTAATTCCAGCCTTGCTGCGCCAACCCCATTCTCCACTGCCACTGTCACAGTCAGCATTTAAGTGCATGAATCAGATCACGTTATCCTCCAGTGACATCCACCAAAGAAAAACCCAAACTCCTTTTTAACCGTGGCCTACACATCTCTCCATTGTCTGATTCCTATGGATCTTTCCAAACTATTTCAGTCCACTTCCCTCATCACTCATAATACCCTACATATGACAGCCACCATTCCAAACTCTTTCTTGACTCAAGGCCACTATACTGTCCTTCCTTTTGCCTGGGATGCTGTTCTCCTAGATTTTCAGTCATTCCCTCCTCCTCAGTAATTATATACCCAAGGTGATAAATGGCATAGAACCATGCTGGCTGGTTTAGGGAACCTCAGCTTCTAGCTATTGGTGCTTTTCCAGTCACTCTCTCCCAGTATCAATATCTTATTAGTTTAATCGCCACAAAGAAAGTGAAGTATCTTAATCATTTATTGCATTCGTGTTCATAGAGAAAATCTGCCCACCTCACCTCTTCAACTACAAAACGTAAGCTGCTTGAGAAGAGAGGCCTTGTTTGTCTTAGTCATTGCTATATTCCCCAGCATGCCAAGTGTCTGCCCTAGATTTATTGTCTGTCTGCCTATATGAATATATGTTAATACTTTAGAATTCAGCTCAGCTATATATAGGTTAAATTAGCTTTATATTCTAATGAAAGAATCTTGCCCCACTTAAAAATCTGTTTCTACGAGAAATTGCATTTCATGGTCCAAACAATATTCAAATAAAATTTTTAAATATAACTGATCTATATGTGAAAGTTTACATATATAATATTTAGAAAGTGTGTTAAAAAATACACATCTTCACTGAAGGCTAATGTCTAGTGGCCAAAATAATCCACAGAGCCATGAATACGTCTGAAACAAAAATTTTAGTGGTGCCTTCTGCAACCAACTAAGTGGATAAATGTATTTTAGATTGCCTTGTGAGTATGAAAATTTAGTATACAGACTACAGTTTCTATGCCATCTAGTCCAACATGCCAAGCAGAATCCTGTACACACTAATTATGGGCCTGTCATTAATCCTTTCATTAATGATTTGGCTCATGCAATTTAATTATGCAAATTAAAGTATACAATGTAGTTCTGCTAATGGTATTAAGATGAGTAGGTTCACTAGCACCTTAGAGCAGAAACTGAGAATTCAAAATGCCATGTTTTATACACAGAACCAAAAACTATAGCGAAAAGTATTTTAGTATTTTCTCAGAGAATCATAAACAGAATAAATCTTCTAAAGAAAGACGTCCCTAGATTCCATAAGACTTTTCCTGGCACACAATGATTTTCACTAACACACTTTTCCACCACAAACAGAATCAATTAATTATGATCTTTTATGTCTTACGTCATATTTATCTGCCATGTTAAAAACCTAAGGTGTGGTGCTATATTCTATCTCCATTTCCCTAACAGTATCAAAAAATAGGAGTTTGATTGACCCAAGAGTCTTAAGTACCAAACACCAAATAAAGTCACCCTGAAAGAAAATTCCTTCACAATTATCTGAAATGAGAATGAATATATATAATTACTAATTCAAGGGGTTCCCTCTTGCTACAAAATCTCTTTGTAAAAAAAAGTAAATAAGTGCCTTTATGCCACATGCAACCTAGGCACTTAGCAGTCTTTCCTAAAAGGTTCCAGTTTATTTCACTTTGCAAAATTGGCAGGCAGACAACAGTCTTAAAGAATCATATCCTCAGAAAACAGACCTATCTTGTTTATTGGTTCTATCTGATTTTCAAAAACCTCATGAATTCCTTTTGGGTTGAATGAGTTATATGCTCCTTTACCTAAAATCTGTACTTAGATGCTTTCAATTAAGAAAGGGCTTTTGCTGTTAATTTCTAACAGAAATTCTAGATAGTCCTCTCTATCAGTTCTTATAACAATCCAAAAGCATATTTTTCTTCTCTTTCCACATGCTTCACCCACTTATAAGCTCAGGCACTTATTAACTCATCTGTATAGTCAACTAAATGTATTTTAAAAATATAACGCAGACACAAATATAAAGGATAGCTTAAAATGTGAAATAATATAAACCATGGGACCTATAGGAGATGATGCAATACATCGGTAGAAAAATAATGAGAATCTGAACTAAGGCAGTTTTAGCAAGAAGGGAAAGAAGACAGAAAGGGCAGGGCATGGTGGCTCATGCCTATAATCCCAGCACTTTGGGAGGCCGAGGCAGGTGGATCACAAGGTTTCACCATATTGGCCAGGCTGATCTAGAACTCCTGGGAGAGGTTTCTGTGGAAGTTAGAGACGAACGTTTCAAGAATGGAGTAGTCAATTCTATTTGGGGAAAAAATGAGAGAACAGGAGAGATTAAGAAGTAAGAGTGAAGAGAGGCCACTCAATCTTGATCTAGCCCATGTTGGGGTAGTTTAAGTGAAAATTTGATGAGGAGATAGTAAAAGAGGTATCATGAGGGTAAAGCACTGTCAAGATAGAATTTCTTTCTTTTTTTTTTTTTTTTTTTTTGAGACGGAGTTTCGCTCTTGTTGCCCAGGCTGGAGTG